TAAAGAAGCAGGAAAAAGAAGTGAAGAGGAACAGGCTGGCAGAACGCAGACCAGGACGGTCTTTTGACACTTTGCTGTGCTGCAGGAGCGGGCTAGCTTGCAGCTTAACCTCCCTTGCCCCTGCTTTCAAGGGACTGGGAGGGTAAGGGGTGCATTGTCCCAGTGCATCCCAGCAACTCCTTGCACCTTCTGGCCGCTAGCAGCTCCTGGAAACTTCCCTCTCCGAGCTCTTGGCACCCCGATGGCTGCGTTGGCTTTCTGCCTGAGGAGCCCTGATGCCTTTGCTGGCAAGGGCATCCCTTCCTGGCCATGGTCTCAGCCAGGACTGTCTCTCCTGCAGAGGTTAGGCACAACGGATTTGGCCACATGGGACCGAAGAGGTGTCCTCGCACAGCCAGAGTCTGGAGGAGTCATCGTCTTTCCCAGGTGAGTGTGCTGTGTCTGCAGCCCATGGCTGGCGTCAAGGCCAGGGCACTGCAACTACTGAGTGTGGTGGCCTGGAATCACACTGCTGTCCTCTTCTTGCTTCCAGGATTGGGCTCTACATTCCATCTGGAAGAGCTGCAGGGGGTAATCCAGTTCAAAGTCCCGAGAAGCAGGATGAAAGCTGCCAGGGCGTGCCGGGGGCCGCTGCAGGGCAGCTCACAGCAGCACTTCTAGCGGGGACACGGAGCAGAATGGCAGAAATGGCCCAAGTAACTTGGCCTTTCTTCTCGCTTCTCTTGCAGATGGAGAAGAAGCCGCAAGACATCAAGACACTGCCTCACTGTGGGGTGAGGCAGGCCGAGAGAATCCAGCTGCCAGCCCTGCCGCCTTTGCCAAGGCAGGCAGCGACTCTCAAGCAAGTGCCTAAAGCAGAGACATCATTATCTGAAAAGGCCACTTGCAAGCTGCCCCCTCTGCAAGCAGCAGCCTCTGCAACTTCTGCCAGAGGAAGAGCAAAGGCATTGGGTACAGAGGGCCCCTAGCCACCGAGAGCTTTCTGCCACCTCTTCCATGCGTCTCTGCTGAGAGGGACAGGGCAGAGAGGGCAGAGAGGTGGGAACGTGTCCCACACAGCCCTTGGCCCTGCTGAGGATGTGGAGTACTCAGTACGGTCCTTCGTCTCCACAGTCATAAGAAATGCTGTAGCCAAGAGCAAGGCAAGGCTTTCTCCATCAGGCAGAGGTCCTAGGACCACAGGCCACAGAACACCACCTCTCCCCACAGCAGTGCCCTGGCATTTGAAGAAGAGCCGGCACCCTGCCAACACAAAGCCCCACCGACTCTTTTACGGTGCTGCAGACACAGCACTGTCTGTTGTGTCCTGAAGCCATGTCCAAGGCGATTGGCTAAAATGGCGGCAACAAGAGGAACAGGACAGTGCCCCAGGAATTCAGATGCCCCTCCACATCCTGCCCCCAGCCTCAGCTCATCTGCAGCTGCCTTCTGCTGGGAATAAAAGCTCAGGCAGAGTTTTGCTCCCAGTGCTCCTCTCTGTGTCGTTGATCTCAGGAGAAAGAGTGGTGCAGACCACGCCAACCTGCTTCCCGTAGCATTCAACACCGTGCAGCGCTGCATTCAGGAGACCCTGCTCTTTCTCTCCTACACCCTTGCAAAGAAGCAGGCTGTTGATTTCATCTTCAAGGACATCGGCCGTCTGGTCTCCCGCAAGAGCAGAGTCCAAATGCACTTTTCCTCCGACTTTGTTCACAACCTGAATAGCAACGGCCAGCTGTTGAAATGCCGCCTCACTGTAAGTTTCTCACTGCACCAGCACAGCCCAGGGCTCCTGGGAAATGCCCCAAGAGGCCGTTGGCGTGTTAGGAAACAGCTGGGGAAGAGGAAGGAGGCCCTGCAGGAAGGCAGGACCAAGAGCAGAGCTGTGGACATCCCCGGGAAGACTGTGGAGGAGCTCCCGCTCTGGTAGTCCTCTGCTGCAACAGCCTTCTTTCCACAGCCCCTTGTTCAGTGAGGCCTCTGGGCTCTCACTGGCACCCTTCTCCCTGAAGGGAGCAGGGAGTGTCACTCAGCTCTCCTCTCTGGAGCGGAATCTTGAACCTTTCCAGAGAATCACAGAATGGCTTGGGTTGCAATTGATGTTAAAGATCTTCTATTCCCTCCTGCCCCCTGCCATGGGCAGGGATGCCATTCACTAGAGCAAGTAGCCCAGTGCCTCATCCAAACAGGTCTTGAAGACCTCCAGGGATGGGGCATCCACGGCTTCTCTGGGCAAGCTGTTCCAGTGCCTCACCACCCTCTGTGTGAAGAAGTTTTGTGGCCACCAAGGAGCAGCTCTGACTAGCCTTCTCTTTTCCTCCTGACAGGGATGCCTCCTGCTATTAAGAGCCGGCTGCTCACACCCCAGAGTCGCTCTCCAGCCAGACTCCAGGGCGACAGGGGAGGCACAGCTGGGCCAGGCTGCTGGGGGAAAAGAGCCTTCTCCCAGGTGAGGCTGGGGGGCAGCTGGAGGAGGCAGCCCCTGGGCTCTTCCCCTTGAGTCAGCGAGCGGCTTTCCTTGGACAGGGGGACTTGGCCAGCTCCACAGGGGTCCCGACACATGTCCCACCCACTGCCCTTTCCTTGCTGGGCAGCCGTTTGCTGAGCAAAAGCTGTAGCAGCAAATCCTCCTCTTGTGTGCTTGCAGAATGCTGACAGCATTCATTCAGGAGAGCTCCTCGAGGATGGGAGAAGAGGGTGTAATAAATGGCTCAGTCTTCAAAATAGGACTATAATCAAAGTTTACAATTTATTAAAGGAATAGAGGTAAGCAAACAGCGATGGGTGCGCTGGGAGTCTCTGCTCCACCAAGACACCCACCAGTTACATCAAGCAGCTGATTTGTATGCTCCTAGGCTGATACATATTCATTACTACTTCTAAATAAAACAGGGTTATTATAATTAGTTTCTGGAATCCCAACTGGAGCATGTGTATCAGTCTCCGGTGGTCCCTCTGGGGGTCTCTGGGGGGTCTCTCGTGCTGAAGGCTCATAGTCTTCCTCCCTCTTGTCCTTCTCCTTTGTCCAACTTGGCTGTATGTCAGAGACTTGTGCAACATCCCCTGCAAGCTTTGTCTTTTAGTTGTTCTTCAGCTCTCGCCATCTCCTTAATCTCCTGGCCAGATATCAGAGACTTGCATAGTGTCCCATGCAATAGTCATAATAGTTAGCAGTTATTCTGAAACCCCCCAGATATCAGAGACTTCAAGGAAGAGCCTACAAATGCATTGCCCTTCAAGCTCTCTATTGACACGAATTGCTAAACCATTCCTTTGCAAGATACGAGAATTATATACGTTAACCACTCTGTTCTTCTTAGACTTGTGGTTATACAAGGGTATGTAAGACAGAAGGTCACATTCATCATACCATGCGGCCCTAGCATTGTTCCATACTGACACAAATCAGATGAACATATCTCACAAGGGGAAGGGCAAGCGCTGTGCTGCAGCCTGGCCCCAAACTCAAGCCCCTGCCTGCGAGGCTCACCAGAGAGCAGGACAAGTAGCCACTGCATCTGTGTGCCCATTGCCGGGCTGTTTCACGGGTTGCCTTTGTGGAGATTTGATGTTTCTCTCTAATCGTTGCATGCTCAGCACAAAGCATGTTTTTGCAGGCATTGCTCTCCTGCGCACACTGCCAGTGTACAGCCAGGGAAGCAGCTGCTGCAGCAGCTCAGAGCAGAAGGCCACGGTTGTTCACTCACCCAATGCAGCTGCAAAGGAGCCTCCATTTTTTCGGGGAACTCCAGGCCTCTGGGTACAGCAAGGGACAGGGTTCCCCTATCTCTGGTTCTCTCTCTCCCCTCTTTGCTGGGAGGCTCTGGATGAGGGCCTCTACTTCTCTGATTTGGCAGGTGGCTGCCACAGCTTGCACCACGGCTTCTCCTTGGGCCAGACCTCAGAAAAGAGACACTGGTCCTCGCAGAGAGCTGCCGCCTGCTGGAAAAGCAAGACCAGGTTGTTGAGCAAAAGCTATAGCAGCAAATCCTCGTCTTGTGTGCTTGCAAGATGCTGGCAATGCATCAGGTGAGCTCCACAAGGATGGCAGAACAGGGATAGGGTTGTTACAAGGGTAGTGCTTCTGAAGATTTGACGTTTCTCTAACCACTTCATGCCCTTCTCCCCTGCAGGAAATAGGCTGCCTGTGCCGCCAGCAAGACAAAAGAACTCTGAGAAGAACTTCAGAGAAGTTGTTCCTTGTCAATTTTGATTTGGCACTATCAAAAGTCATCTGCTAACCAGCCAGCCAGCCTTCATAACCGAAGACAGCTGAACCATGGATTGCAGGCCCAGCAAAGTCAAAGTCAACATCACAACCGAGGTTTAGGCATTCACGTTTATATGCTGACTTGATTTTACCACTCTTCTTTCCTGTATTTGGTGAGAAAGTTGTATCAAACGTCAACTTCAAGCCTTTGGCAATCTGATCTTCAATTGCAATTTCTGTTCCCAGAGTGTTATCTGTGTTCCGTTTTTCTGTGAAAGTCAGCCCATACTCAGCCCACTTGTATTTGGTCTCCAAGCTCCCATTAACTTTTCCAGTGTCGGTGTTCGAAGAACCAGATGTTGTGAACTCCACCCCACTTGCAGATTTTGTTTTCACATCCAGCTTCACCAACCCAAACCCATATCCTTTATTGAAGGTATCTCTGGCAGATTTGCCAAGGTCTGCGTACGACGGAGGAATTGCCATTGGAGCTGGCTGGCGCGGGAGGGCGGCTTAGCTCTGCCACGAAGCTTCTCTCCAAGAGAAAAACCTGCCCTTTCTGAGCCTTGTTTTCCTTCGTGAAGGATGAGGGCTCCTGCAAAGCCCGCTGCCCTGGAAGTGTTCTTGCCCTTAGCTTCAGAGGCCGAGGGCTGGGGCCTTTCATGCTGCCTTTCTGAGAGAAAGCAGGCTGCAGGGAAACTGCCCTGAGCCTGGGGAAACCCTGAGGGGACGACTGCCCCACTGCCATGGGGACAGCTCCCACATTAGCACTCCCCTCTAAAAATGCTCCCTGTTTCTGCTTCCCCTGTAGCAGAAGATGCAGGCGGAAATGCAGAGGCTGCAGAGGGGGTGTGCTTCCTCCATGGCACTCATGGACCTGAAGAACGCTCTGCAGCTGGTACCAGTGGAGATGAAGCATCAGCATGTCCTCATCCCTCTCCCTCCAGCGAAGAAGGCTGAGGCAGCTCCCCTCAGCAAATCAAGTGCCAGGTAAGTGTGGGCCAGCTCCCACAAAGGCCAGGAAAAGCTGAGCTGCATCAGGCTGCCCGAGGGATCCAGCATGCGGGTTGCTCAGCTCTGGGCTTTGGCTCTCCATCCCCTGGCTGCTTCGGGGAGGCAATGACTGTGGAGAGGACCTTGCCTCCAGACGTTCCCCTGCAGACCCAAAGTCCTGAAGCTCCCCTGCAGCCGACAGTCACGTACCCACAGTGGAAGGGGGCTGTGCTCCCTGCTCCTGGGGCTGGGGGCAGGCAGAGCTGGGGACCTTCAGATCCTACCTGAGAGTTTTTTTCTCTGTTGATGCAGCTACCAATTAGTACGGAGTGTGCGGGCGGGGAAAGTGATGGAGAAGAGAAAGGAGGCCTGGAAAATCACTGGGCTGCGGCGCACTGCCTCTGTCTTGCTTCCGCGATTGCGCTCTACACACATTTCTTATTTCATTTCATTAAGATGTAATATTTATCTTTATTTCAATAATATTTATCTTTATTTCATTAAGATTTAATAAACAAACAAACGGCTGTTCTACAGTTTTCTTTCCACACCCGAATGGATCACTGTGCACGCTCCGCGGGGCCTGCTCGAGGTTTGTACGGGCCAGAAATGAGAGAGCTTCATTCTCGGTACCGGGTTGCTCAGCTCGCTGGTGGCCCTACAGGAAAGATGCTCCCTGAGTGCACAGAGAGAGAGAGAAAAGCTGCTCCCCGACAGGGCAGCTCCTGACCCTTCCTCTGACAGCCCTGGCGGCCATTTGGCAGTTCTGCCTGCCCCCCCGCGCCACAAGCTGGCTGAGGCCTTGGCCTGTCCGCAGCACGGCTGTCAGTGGTGTCGGGCGGCATCTAGAGCCAAGAGGCCTTTCCTTTTCTTTGTGCTGAAGGAAACTTCGTGCTGTCTGGACAGGCAGTGCCTCTTTGCTCCAAGTCTTGCAGGGTTGCCTCTCACTTTGAGGGCCCTGTTTTTCGTCAGCATTTGTGAGGGGCTTCTGCATGCGCCCCCGCTCACTTGTTGCGGCCAGGGCTTCCCCCCAGGATGTCTGGGCAGGCCCATGCCGCTGGGCAGGCTCTGGGTGGGCCTCGTTCCCTGCAGGGGCAGGCGTCTGCCGCTGAGCCCAGAGCCCAGGAGCGGCTCCTGCACTCGCGGCTGCCCCTGCGCGGGCTGCTGCCGCTGCTTCTGGAACCTTCCTGCAGCCTCTGGCAGCTGGCGCCTGCGTGGCGGCCGCACGTTGGGCTTGGCAGCCTGGCATCTGCAGGCCGTGCCAGCCTGCAGCATGGCATTGGCGGCCTTGTTGCCGTCCCCAGGGCACGGCTGAAAGGGGATTTGGGGCATTTGCTTTCCAGGGGCTGGGCACGTTGGGGATGCAATACCCCACCACGTGCACAGGCAGTTCGCACTGAACAAGGTGGGCTTTGCAGCCTCGTCCTGCCCTCGTAGCCTGCTCCCTCCTGCAGCTGCCACCCCACAGCCCGCCTCCTCAAGCAGAAGAAATGCCCCAGCGGTAGCCTGCAAAGTGCAGGTGTGCCAGGGGCCCCTTGCTGCTCTGGCAATATGCACAACAGAAGAGCCCAGCTCCAGCAGAAGGACGGGATGCGTACTGCCTGGCGCTTGTGCGTTGCCTGTGGCCCGAGTGGGCAAGCCAGCATGTAGCCAGAGCCGGTTCTCAAGGCTTTCCCTATTAGTTGGGAACCCCGTGGAGGGTTTTTCCTGAGCTGAGGGTGTTGGCTGTGCTCTTCCTAGCCCAGCTCTTCTGTAGGGGGCAAAAAGGAGGGAGCTGGGAAGCTCCCAGACACTGAGGCCATCTCCAGGGCTCTCCGCAGTGACGCCATCTGGCACCTTCCCATGAGCAGTGGCCAAAGCACAAGGGCCCATCTTCTTTGTTGGGGAAGCCCCGCGCTGCATTTCCAGTGCCAGAAATGCTTAAATACTGTTCCTCCTTTCTTGCTTTTCAGCGTGTCTTAGTACCTGGGCTGGGTGCCTCCTTCCTTATTAAAGTGGGGCTGCTCTTGTTTTTTGCTTTGAGCTCCTCCAGGTAAAGAAGCCCACTTTTCAGCTCTCGGAGAACTTTGCCTGTCTTCCCGGAGTCCCACATAAGAAAGAAAGAGACTTTTCCCGTTTCTTTCTCAGGTGAATTTGGCCGCATCGGCAGGAAAAGTGTCCTGACACATGTCCTACTGACTGTCTTTTCCTTGCCGGGCAGCTGCTTGGTGAGCACCGGCTGTTGCAGCACTTCCTCCCCTTGTGTGCTTGCAGGCTGCTGACAGCACGTCAGGAGAGCTTGCAGGCTGCTGACAGCACGTCAGGTTCTTGCAGTGGAAAATTCCACTAACCTTGCATTTTCAAAAGGGATTGTGCGGGCATGGCAGTAGCATACCAGGTGAAGTATTTTAAGCAGATAAGGGGAATGTCCCACAGTCGCAAAATGAGGAGGATAGCTAAGAAAAGCAGGAGAATCAGGGCAAAAATCAGTAACAAACAAATAAATAAATAAATAAATCACGGGCATTCTGGTCACGAGAGATGAAGAAAAAAATAATTAAAAAAAAAAAAAGGAAAAGGGGAAAATAAAGGTTGGTCAAATAAAATTGTACATATATGGCGTAGTAGTAAGCATCGCGTGGTTTGTGAACCTGATTCTCCCCCTGTACTCAGCTCTGGTGAGGTCGCGCCATGAATACCCTGTTCAGTTTTGGGGCCCTCACTGCAGGAAGGACGTGGAGGTCCTGGAGCATGTCCAAGGAAGGGGAAAGGAGCAGCCGAAGGGCCCAGGGAGCAAGTCGTGTGAGGAGTGCTGAGGGAGCTGGGGTTATGTAGCCTAGAGGAAAGGAGGCTTGGGGGAGACCTTATCACTGTGTACAAGGACCTCAGAGAAGGTTGTAGTGCGGTGGGGGTCAGTCCCATCTCCCAAGCAACAGGCGGTAGGAGAAGAGGAAAAAGTGGGGCCGCGGGAGGTTTAGGTGGATTTAGGTTTAGGTTTAGGCAAAAAGTCTTCAACAAAAGGGTTGTGAAGCATTGGAACAGGCTGCCCAGGGAAGTAGTTGAGTCACCATCCCTGGAGGCATTCGAAAGCCGTGTAGATCTGGTGCCGAGGGACACGGTTCAGTGGTAGATTCTATGATTCTGTACTTCTCTGACTGTGAGAGGCCCCGGGTTGGCATGGCCTGCACCGCTCTTTCTCCTGAGATCAATGGCACAGAGAGGAGCACTGGGGGCAAAAGTCTGCCTGAGCTTTTATTCAGAGCAGAAAGCAGCCGCAGCTGAGCTGAGGCTGGGGGCAGGATGTGGTGGGGCATCTGAATTCCTGGGGCGCTGTCCTGTGCCTCGCAGTGATGCTTCCGTGGGTGCTGCAAAGCTTCCTGAGGGCCAGCTGCCAGCTCCGAGCATCCTCCTGGGACTGGCACAGCCGGGCGCGGCTACTCTCGCTGTCCTGCGATGCAGCTGCAGCGGAAAGCCCTGCGCAGCGCGCGAAGTGCCCTCCTGATGCGGGAGGGCCGTGGCTGGCGCGCCGGGGCTTGTGCGAGGTCAAGGGTGCCTGTGGGGGACACAGAGGTGTAGGTTAGGGCCTGAGCGGGTGCTGGGCGAGCCTGTCCCCCCCTCCAAGGCCTTTCCCCGGGGAGGGGTGGCCCAGGACCAGCCAGCCCCCCTGCGCGTGGTGCTGCCAACCTTGTGCTTGGTGCTGCTCGCTGCGCTGAACAGGCCCGGCCAACAGATCCTGGGACGGCGCTTGTGTCTGGGATGTTGCTGGCTCATCCGCTGGCGTATCTTTGGTGCAGGAGGAGGACTGCGCTTGGCCTCCCTGCTCGATGGCCACCTGCATGGGGAGAGGAACAGCACGGGCAGCTGAGGAAAGGGATGTCAGCCCTTGTGCCTGGGGCATGTGGAAATGCAGAGCAGCAAGCAGCTCCCGGCACGCACACCCAATGCACTGCTTCTGCCTGGGGCCGCCCTGGATGCCTGGTGCCCACCACGTGTGCTGTGCTTACCTGGTGCCCAGGAACCAAGGGAGTGGCTGCTGCTCCTGCTTCGTCAGCTGCTGCTGGGCGGAGATCTGTGATGGCCTCCCGGAGAGGCTCTGCAGCCAAAGGAGAAGCCCCTTCTCCACCTTCTTCTTGTGGCATTGCTGCTGCAGCGAGAGGGGCTTCATTGGCCTCCCCCACAGGGCCTCTGGCCAAGGCAGAGGCCGAGGATGTACATTCTGCAGGCTCTGGTGTGGGAGGAGGCACCCTGGGCACTGTGACCCAGGGAGCACTTGCTGCCTTGCTTGGGGCTCCCGCTCCCTGGATGATGGCTACAGAGTGGAGTAGGACTGCAGCCACGATGGTGTCAACTCTTTCATCCAGCTCTTCATCAGAGACACTGCAGGCATGTCGGGCACGTCCCTGGCTCTCCACCATCACGGCAGCGCTGTGCTCGCTGGGGCTTGGAGAGGCCGATGGTTTTGACTGTGGAGCCCCACGTGTCAGGGGAGGCGTCCTGTGTCCCTCATCTTCCAGAGCAGGGGCTGCTGGAGGACTTGCTGGCCTGCTCTGTGCCGGTGTTGTTGTGGTGAGAGGCGTGCTGTGCCTCTCTTCCCCAGGAATTTCTTCCTGGGGAGCAGCTGATGGGACAGTGTCCGTGGTTTGCAGCGAGCCAGGAGAGGCGCTTGCTGGGTGTTCTGCTTCTTGTGCTGCCTCCCTTTCCACACTGCTGGCTGCGCTGCCCTCTTCCTGCGGAACGTCCTGTGCGTCTGTGAAGAGGCTGGCGAACCTGGGGTTGATCCAGGAGTTGATGATGACGATCTCCTCCTCTTCATCGCATCCCCCAGGACTGCTCTCTTTCTTGCCCCGGCCTTGGCTTGTCCCCTCGTTTCCTGTCCCCTGCCTGGGTTTGACGTGTTTCTCTCTCTGTTTTTTCTTCTTACCCTGGCCTGGGCTAGCTGCTGCAGGGTCTCTGCTGGAAGCCCTTGCTCCTGCGCATACCCGGGAATCAGGCCCTGGCAGAGCAGTGGTCCGCCTCCTCTCCAGGTCTGTCTGGACCCCGGCTGATCTCGTTGCTCTCCCTGTGCTCCCCGTGTGTGCCAAGTCCCCCAGTGCTCCAGCCAAGGCAGATGCTGAGGATGTAGAGTCTGCAGGCTCTGCTGTGGGAGGAGGCACGCTGGGTCCTGTGGCCGAGGGAGCACTTGCTGCCTTGCTCACGGCTCCCTGGCTCATGGCTTCAGCACGGCGTATGACTGTGGAAACGATGGTCTTGACTCGTTCATCCAGCTCGTCATCACAGGCACTGGAGGCATGTCGGGCACGTCCCTGGCTCTCAACCATCACCGCAGTGCTGTGCTCACTGGGGCTTGGAGAGGCCGATGGTTTTGACTGTGGAGCCCCACGTGTCAGGGGAGGCGTCCTGTGTCCCTCATCTTCCAGAGCAGGGGCTGCTGGAGGACTTGCTGGCCTGCTCTGTGCTGCTGTTGTTGTGGTGAGAGGCGTGCTGTGCCTCTCTTCCCCAGGAATTTCTTCCTGGGGAGCAGCTGATGGGACAGTGTCCGTGGTTTGCAGCGAGCCAGGAGAGGCGCTTGCTGGGTGTTCTGCTTCTTGTGCTGCCTCCCTGTCCACACTGCTGGCTGCGCTGCCCTCTTCCTGGGGAACGTCCTGTGCGTCTGTGAAGAGGCTGGCGAACCTGGGGTTGATCCAGGAGTTGATGATGACGACCTCCTCTTCATCGCATCCCCCAGGACTGCTCTCTTTCTTGCCCCGGCCTTGGCTTGTCCCCTCGTTGCCTGTCCCCTGCCTGGGTTTGATGTGTTTCTCTCTCTGTTGTTTTTTCTTCTTACCCTGGCCTGGGCTAGCTGCTGCAGGGTCTCTGCTGGAAGCCCTTGCTCCTGCGCATACCCGGGAATCAGGCCCTGGCAGAGAAGTCGTCCACGTCCTCTCCAGGTCTGTCTGGACCCCGGCTGAACTTGTTGCTCTCAATTTGCACCCCGTTTGTGCCAGGTCCCCAAGTGCTGCTGATCGTTGGCCGTGTTCCCAGCTTTTTTGCGTCTTCTGCAGCACTTCAGACACGCGGGAGTGTGCTGTGTCCTGCAGTGCCGTGCAAGAGTCTGCAGGGCTGTGTGGGGCAGGGTGCCAGCTCTTCTTTAAATTCTGGGGCCCAGTTGCGGGCTGAGGTGGTGTTCTGTGTCCTTTGCTCGTGGGAGGTCTGCCCACGGGAGGAAGCCTTGCCTCCCTCATGGCTCCCTGGTTCCAGGCAAGGCCATTTCTTATTGCAGTGGAGACAAAGGCCTTTATTCGGTCTTCCATTTCTTCGTCAGGGGATGCAAGGCTGCTTTTGGACGAGTGCCGACTCTTCCAGTTTTGGGCCGCTGCTGTGGTGAGAGGTGGTGTTCTGGGGCCTTTGGTCCTGGGAACTCTGCTTGAGGGAGAAAGCCTTGCCTTGCTGCTGGCTCCCTCGTTGCAGGCTACAGCGTTTGTTATGACGGTGGACACAAAGGACCGTATTGCATTGCCCATGTCCTCGTCAGGGGCCACAGGGCTGTGTGGGCCACGTTCCCGCCTCTCTGCCCTCACTGCTCTGTCCCTGTTGCCAGAGATGCAGGGAAGAGGTGGCAAAAGCTCTTGCTGGCTGCGGGCCTCTGTTCCCAATGACTTTGCCCTTCCTCCCCCTGAAGAAGCAGAGGCTGCTGCTTGCAGAGGGGGCAGCTTGCAAGTGGCCTTTTCAGATGATGATGTCTCTGCTTTAGGCACTTGCTTGGGTGCTGCTGCCTGAGTCGCTGCCTGCCTTGGCAAAGGCGGCAGGGCTGGCAGCTGGATTCTCTCGGCCTGCCTCACCCCACGGTGAGGCAGTGTCTTGATGTCTTGCGGCTTCTTCTCCATCTGCAAGAGAAGCGAGAAGAAAGGCCAAGTTACTTGGGCCATTTCTGCCATTCTGCTCCGTGTCCCCACTAGAAGTGCTGCTGTGAGCTGCCCTGCAGCGGCCCCCGGCACGCCCTGGCAGCTGCCCACGCAGAGCGGGGCTCAGCCTGCCAGGGTAATGCCCTGCCTGTCTCCTCCTGCGAGTGCTGCCTGCTCATCGCAGGCTGCCAGGGCTGCCAAAGATGTTCGACCGAACCGTCCTGGGGCTCCCGACTCCGTGTGGCAGCTGCCAGTGTGACGCACGCTCTCTGGGCACGACCGCACCGGCAGCCTGTCCGCATGGAGGGACGGTGGAGGCAGCTCCTGGCTGCGCACAGCCAGGTTGAATTAGGCCACGCTGCTCTTTGTGCCTGTGGGCACAGAACTGCCAGGGCCACATGGGCTTTGGCTGTCCTGGGGGTGGGCTCTTCATGGAGAAACCCCAGGTTTGGGAACAACTGTGTCCAGGCCGGAGGGGCTCAGGGCCAGCTGGCCGGCTCGCTCCAGCACCGTTCTCCTCATCCTGGTGCTCTCGGTGCCATCCCGTCACACTGCTGTCCCTGTCTCGCTCCCTGAGCCTCACCTGGCGCCGCTCCTGCACGCTCCGCTGCCCTTCAGCGGGCTGGGAGTCATCCTTATTCTGCTGCTCCATGCTATGCTCCAGGTCCTCTGACCAAGAACTCCAACAGGCACCCAGGGGAGCTGCTGCCTCCTGACAGAGCTGCTCTCCTGAGAGTGAGTGGGCAGCCCGGGGCTCGGGCTTTATAAGGGACACCGTTGCCGTGGGTACCCCTCCGTGTCACAATGGCCTTTGGGTACGCATCACAATGCCCCGGTGGTTGCCATGGGGCCCTCAAGCCCATATTCTGGCAGACACCCCAGGGACACCGTCTCACACACCCACAGCAGGATCTGCATTGGCAGGTACCTCTGGCTCCTTCCAGCCAGTGCCCCCGGCTCAGCCCCAGCTCAGTCTTTCTCAGGGCAGTCAGCTTAGCTCCCTAACTGCTCCCAGGTAACTGCGCGTTACCTGCTCTGCCAGGAGATGCTCTGCTCGGTCGTCCGCGTAAGCTTCCTGGCTCTTTTGCCTGACTGCCCACACATCAGCAGAGACTGCACTCGAGCTTGGACGCCCATCAGGCCACCCTGGCAGTGCAGCTGGAGCAGGAGCAGGAGCAGGAGCAGGAGCAGGAGCAGGAGCAGGGATTCCTCCCGTGTCCGGGCAGCCAGAGGCCTGTGGCTCTAGGCACTGTGAAGTGCTCCCAGAGAAGGTGGGCTCCAGGGAGCCGGTGGAGCTGGCAGAGAGGTGGCTTGAGGCAGGCTCTGGCAGGGCTGTGAGAGGAAAGCCCTGGGCAGCCGCAGGACGAGTTCCTGCTCCTTGCTTTAAGAGCAAGCTGTGGAGGAGCTTTCAGCAGCAGAGCCACAGCTGTGCCACGCTGCTGTTTAGCCTGCAGCTTCTCTGGCTGCTGAAGCAGGTCCTATGCTTCAGAGTTGTGCCTGAAACAGTGTTGGTAACACAACGGTGTCTTTGCTGGAACAGGTTGCCCAGAGAGGCTGTGGCGTCTCCATCCTTGGAGATCTTCAGAAGCACAATCCTCGGAATTGTGCGTAAAGCTCGTCCTTTGGGGAGAAAGAGAAGGAATTGGAAAAACAACCCCAAAACTAGGGAAAAGGATAAAAAAGCACAGGTTAGATATTGTCCAATTGTCTGGCCTGAAAAGCCATTAAAAGGAACTTTGCTCCTTTGGCCACAACGCAGGTCCGATGAAAATTCCCGCTTCAAGTTTACAGGTAAACAATAAGACTCCTTTTCCGCAGGAGGAATCAAGTTATGCTCCCTCTAACCCTAACATTGCAGCCGAGGCAGCAGGAGCTGCACCAGCAAGGAAGTATATGTGTAAGTGTACGTGCTTGAGACAAAGTATTGGATCTGCTTGAGACAAAGTATTGCTGTGAAGGGAGTGACTCCTCACTCTAGAGTAACACTTGTAACAGTAACAGTAGAAGTTGTTGTACAGCAGATACAACATGAGAATCCTGTAAGGGGATGGCCTGTCCCGAATGGCAAGGGGTAGTACTGGCTCTGCGGCAATAAATGCAGGAAGGTGTTGCCCCTTGGCTGGAAGGCAGCTTGCACCCTGGGGGCAATAATTCCACATGTACCTATTACTGAAGACCCACAACGCCAAAGCCCCCTTGAGACCGCACGCAGAATTACGAGGACTCCACATAATCCTCTAGGAAACCGAACCAGGGAATTTCACTCACTGGAGAACTAGAAAATAACACTCTGCACGCAGTCCAGGCACTACGAGAGGAGCTAAGAAGCTTCTCAGAAACAGTACTTGTGTTGGGTCTGTCTGAGCTGGAGTCACCTTTTCCCTGCAGCAGCCCACACAGTGCTGTGCTCTGCACTCGTAGCTGGAGCAGCACTGATATCGCTCAAGTGTTGTGTCTGTTGCTGCGCAGTGCTGGCACGGCATCAGGACTCCTTCCAAGCCCCCAAGAGCCAGCAGGCTGGGGGTGGGCAAGTGATGGGGAGGGGGCATTGCCAGGGCAGCTGACCTAAACCAACCAAAGGGATATTCCATAACACCTGATGTCACACTCAGCAATAAAAAGGGGGGCTCTCCTGGGGGAGGGGGCTGTTCCTCCTGAACAACCACTATGCGTTTTGAGGCCCTGCTTCCCAGGACGTGGCCGAACATCGCTCGTTGATGGGAAGCAGAGAATATTTTTTTTCCCTCTATCTGTGCTTCCGCACTGACTTATTGTTTCTCTTGTTTCTTTTTTTCCTCCCCATTCCCTTTCCCTTTAATTAAACCTTTCTCATCTCAAACCTCGAGTTCTCTGTGTTGTATTTTCTCCCCCTTCCTCTTTGAGGAGAGGGGGAGTGAGAGAGCGGTTGTGGTGGAGCTCAGCTGCCCACCTGAGTCAAACCACAACAGGCCAACAGGGCTGCTGGTATTGGCTGTGTTCCCTGTTCGCTGCAAAGTGCCTGTGCACGTGGTGGGAGATTGCATCCCCAGCTTTCTCAGGCCCTGGAAGCAAATCCCCCAAAAGTGGAGCAGTGGCATCACGAGCGGAGCCCCGGAGGCAACCGCGGCTGTCTGAAAGGCAAGCATCAAGAATGCGGACATGTCAGAGGAGGAGCAGCAAGATGCTGTTGATTGCGCCACTCAGGCCTTGGCGAAGCACATCGAGAAGGGCATTGCTGCGCACATCGGGAAGGAATTTGACAAGAAATAGAATCCCACTTGGCACTGCAACACAGGAGGGAACTGCGGCAGCTACGTGACTCCTGAGAGCACGCACTTCACCTACTTCTAGCTCAGCCAAGTTGCTATTCTTTTCGAGTCTGATTAGAACCACGGACTCCCACTGACACTTGCATCTGGTTACAGGACTTTGCTGGCTCCCATGGCTGGTTACTTCAGCCTTCCTGAGGAAACAAACCTTGATCTTCAAGGGCAATGGCAGGGATTATGCTATAGCAGAAGGTGTTACATTGTGGAAATAAAAAGGAAAAATACCAACAAAATGTATTCATTGTTTTTTTTTGTTTTGTTTGTATTTATTGTAATAATTGTAATATTGTATAAATTGGGCCAAGCCCCAATTTAAAATGTTGAAATTAAAAGATTTGGATCCATACAAGTCCATGCATCTGGATGGGATTCATCCCAGAGTGCTTGGAGAGCTGGCTGACATCATTGCGGGACCTCTCTCAATTATTTTTCTATGGTCTTGGCAATCTGGAGAGGCCCCAGTAGAGTGGCAGCTGGCAAAAGTTGTACCAATTTTCAAGAAGGGCAAAAAGAAGACCCCGGTAATTACAGGCTTGTCAGTCTCAGGTCAGTGCCTGCTAAAATTAGGGAGAAGATTATCCTTGAAGTTATTGAAGAGCGCCTGGGGGACAGTGCAGTCATTTCTCCCAGCCAACATGGGTTCACGAGGGTTAGGACCTGTTTAACAAATTTCATTTCCTTTTTAACAATTTTGATTTCCATGGGCAGGCACGGCCCGCAGATGCCAGGCTGCCAAGCCCAACGTGCGGCCGCCAAGCAGGCGCCAGCTGCCAGAGGCTGCAGGAAGGCTCCAGAAGCAGCGGCAGCAGCCCGCGCAGGGGCAGCCACGACTGCAGGAGCCGCTCCTGGGCTGTGGGCTCAGGGGCAGACGCCTGCCCCTGCAGGGGATAAGGCAAACCCAGAGCCCAAAACCAACCCCAAGGGTACTGCATCCCCAACTTTCCTAGGCCCTGGAAGCAAATCCCCTAAAAGCGGAGCAGTGGCGGCGTGAGCAGAGCCCCTGAGGCAACCGCGACTGTCTGAAAGGCAGGCATCAAGAATGCGGACATGTCAGAGAAGAAGCAGCAAGATGCTGTTGATGGTGCCACTCAGGCCTCCCTGCCCACGCTGCTGGATGAGCTGCCCTATGTGAGAAACACTCCGTAGCCAATAACTTAGGCTCAGGCGAGGATCTCAGTGAAGTAGTAATTTATTTGCGATTGCAATGGCGGGCGCCCCACAAGCAGGAGAGCGTGCCTACTAGTTCCAAAACACAGTTTATATACCTTTTGATGACAGGACCCTCCCCTGTTTCCCCACTGAGTGAGTAATCCAGGTTCACAATCTATCTGATGCTTCACAAACAACGCATGGCCTTCGGTTGCCGGCCTGTTAAATTTCAAATTTCTTTTGACGTTTTTACTGCTTGAAGGGGTAATGTTTCTTCACTTATCTGACTTGACTTAACACTGCAATTTTCACCTAATATTGTCCTAAGGAATCTGGTTGTCTGCATTTTACAAGGTCGCCTGCTAAGCTTTCTCATCACTGTAAGCATATCTCAGTACCACATTCCTTCCCTCTAAACAATGTAACTCTGCAAAAACAACATTTCTATTCCCACAATTCCCCCCTTTTCTTCTTCATAAACTGTTGATTTTTGCAAAACCTTTCTCTAAGGTGTAATTTGGTAGATTTCTTCTTCTTTGCTTTCTTTGCTTTCCATCTCCTCATTATCACCTTATCTGAGTAAGGTGGTGGCTCCATGGTCATTTGTTTCAGTAGTGCGGTTTCAGTTAACCACTGTACTAGTCCTCTTACACAGGGGATAATGCAGCAACCAATGGCTGTCAAAACTCCTACTACAACTGCAATCAAGGATGTAAATATGCCTACTTTTTCTGCCAATT